TATATAGATATATAGATATATAGATATATAGATATAAGTCCTACAGATTTATAAGTCCAAAATGTACCTCAAATCCAAAATACAGCGCCAGGGGGGAACCTAAAACACGGAAGCACATCCGAACCGCAAAACTATGAAAAACCTTAATAAAAATAAAAATATTAAATATACTCGCGACTCGGAAGAAAATATTTAGTAGATCAAAATATTATAATAATAAAATATCAATTCACAACTCACACCGGTGTGAATTCCTCTTTTTGTTTTAAAAAAATATAGTGTCAATTCTTTTAGTTATTTTTTTAGTAGTGTTGACTGTTGACTGTTGAGTACTCTCCTAGTAGTGTCACTGTGTCAGTCGTCAGCCACAGCCTCCTTTTTTCGTTTTAAACGTTGAGTGAAAGCCTCGTTATTTTGTTTTTTTATATATGTAAATATGTAAAATGTTTTTCTGTTGTTTGTTTTTATATTGGGTTTTGTTTTGAATGAAAATGAAAACTATGTAATAATTTATTTATTTTTTAAAAACACTGACCTGTACATACATTTTATATATATTTATTTACAGTAAATATTTTATGTATTGTGTGATTTATATATTTTCTAAAAAAACAAAATAGAAGGCTATGATACAGTATGTACAGGTAAATATAATCAGTTTTACTTTTTATAAAACAAAATTGTGTGTAGTTAGCGAAAAACACAATTTTCAATTTGCACTCGATTTGTGCACCCCTGAAAACAACGAAATGGACTGTATGGCTGTGTTTGTCAATAAAATAATTGAAGGGCACGCAATTTTAGGACAAATTTGAAGACCTGAAATAGAGAGTAAAAGGGGTAGCCTTTTGAGCTTTTTTGATATATATATATAGATATAATTTAAATTTTTTTTAATAGAAAGTTGACTCAGTTGTCAGATGAGTCATGAGTACTGTGAGTCATCACATTCACATCGGGTGTGATTTTTTTTTAAATATATAATAATACATTATTTTTGTTTTTGTTTTTTTTAAATAGAAATAGGTGTGCTGTTGAGACTTCACTCTGAGATTCTTGTGTGTTGAAGACTGCAAGTCTCTGCTTCCGTGTTTCGGTAAATACACTCTCGGTCACTTTCAGCCTTCGGGGTCTCGGACTCTCAGATTTTTCTCTCTCTGTCTGACTGTCTCTCGCTCTGTCTCTCTCGCTTTCGCACTTTCTCTCTCTCTCGTTGAGAGTCAAGTCTCGTGTGTGACTTGACTGTGTGACTGTGTGTGTGAGAGTTGAGAACTTGAGATACTGAGTAAATATGTGTGACTGTAAACAATGTGTGTATTGTAATGTGTGTCGCACTGTCGTGCTACTCGTACAGTCTCGTATGACATTGTCACACAGTCACAGTGTCACAGTGTCACTGTGACACTGTGGGAATGTATGTAGAGTGTGACTGTCCAAGAGTTGCCGTTGTGGACTCAGGACTCAGGAGTTAGTTCTGGTGGCTCTCTGACACTCTCTACTCTACAGAGAGAGACTGCTCTGAGCCTCTCTAACTCTCTACTAAATATTTAAATACTAGCTAGTAGAGAGAGTCAGGTCACAGCCTCACAGCCTCACAGCCTCTCACAGGGGTAAATCTGTAGACTCGTAGAGTGTAGACTGTAGTGTAGAGTGTAGACACACTACTCTAGACAGACGACAGTATTTGGCAGTTCAGTGTTCACTGTGTAGAGTGTAGAATTGTAGATTGTAGACTGTGTAGACTGGCCATTTTTTTATATTTGTCTTTTTTTGGGGGTTTTTGTAAAATATAAACATATGTCTGGGCAAAATATTTTGATCTTCTTCTGTGGCTTTCTTCGCATATATATTTTTCCCGAAAAATAAACATTCATTCTTTTTTTATTTCTTTTTTATATTTACAGATAAATATGTAAAGGCTTTTTCGTTTATTATAATTCCAAAAACAAACTCATAAATGTTCAAAATAATACTGCAAATAACAGTGAATATTTTGATATATCAACAGTCGACATCATGCCACTTCTGAATACTGCGTTGCATGTTTGCAGCTGTTACAAGTCAGATTTACACTTATCACACTTGGAAGCGTGTTTTCATCATGTCATCCGCGTCAACCTTCCTGCAGAAGCTGTTAACAATGATTGAGGACCCTAAAAGTGATCAACACATAGCTTGGACAGCAGACGGCACATCATTCATTGTGTTCGACTCTATCATATTCTCCAAGGAGATACTCCCTCAGTACTTCAGACATAACAAGTTTGCCAGCTTTGTTCGTCAGTTGAATATGTATGATTTCCACAAGGTATGGTATTACAAAATATTCGATACTACCAGTGTGTTTAATCGGATTATGTATTTAAAGTGCTTGTACATTAGTCGTAGAAAGCGACCTTCTTCTGTGGTCAAATGAGGCTTCTTTTTCAGCACACATCTATTGATTTCACCATAATCATGCACAACAGAGTGTAGTGATCTTCGCATGTTGTATGAGTCGGTATGCACTATTAACAGCATATATCTCCGCAGTGCGTGCGGCAGTCGTTTTTGATATTGGCACTCCAACCAATTATTTAGAGGAAGTGCTATTATCGCTGCTATGTGCCAACTCTACCAATTGAGAGCCTTCTAAATGCCAGCTTCAATCTTTCTCTCGCCTATTTGGCATAAAGAATCCGGCCTATACAGCTCATTGAGATATGCACTTCTCGTCCTACACCTATAGATACCCATCGACTGTACTACAGGAATACAATACAGTGAGAATGCAGTGCAGTTTACCAACCCCTACTTCTTGCGTGGACAACCCCATCTCCTTCAAAACATGAAGAGGAAAGCGGGAACACGAGTTGATAAGTCAGACACCTCTGAATCGGAGAAGGAGTATATTGACGCAGCGTTAGCGAATCTAGCCCACTCAGAGCATCAGTTGACGGGAAAGCTGAATAGCGTGGAGTCAGACAATAGGTATCTACGTGAGGAGTTCTCTAAACTATGCCAGAAGAATACACAGCAAGAGCAAACCGTCAGTCGGATCATGCACTTCCTCACCTCTATATATGGGACAGCCGGAGAAGGTGCGGCTACTCTGAGCACAGCACATAGTGTCCCAAATATACAGTACCCAGCACATTCGTCGGCCAATTCGTCACTGGTAAGTTTTTGTTTGAAGTGTGATTTGTCAGACTATCTATCCCGTCGCCCATTGTGGAAAACTAAAAGCCGTCGCCTGTAGACTGTCTTCGCATTCCAATTCATATCACATTCTATTATTTGACTGAGCATTGTACTCACGTAACTCTAGTTTTTTACACAGACCTTCCCTACATTGGACACAAGGATAGATGGAGATATCTTCTCACCAAACTCGCAAGGGGGTCATCCTCAGAACTGGGCGTGACAATGCCCATTAATGTCCCAAGATCTATTGCATAATTGCTCTGCCTTTCTAATATAGTTGCCTCAAGTCTGTGGAGGCAAGCCACTTAGCGCGAGTACCTTTCATCTAGCTGCAGTTAGGTAGTTCTTAGGAATGCTATGGACTCGACGCTTGAAATATAGTGTCTCCTAGTCCACTATCCTGGACGTCTACACTTTTGCGTTGGATTCGGATCAGTTGACCCAGAATAGGGAACAAACACAAGAATGTTGGCCCAGATTCATTTCTACTGTGCTCAGGTGGTCACCAGAGCTACATAGGTAGACCGATGAGAAGCCCTCGACATAAATGCTGTTGGTAGATATCAAGACGCCTCCTTCACTACACGAACAGAGTGCACTCTTTTACGAGAGAGTAGTTGATCGACTCTACAAGTAAAATCCCTTTGGCTATGAACAGCCACAGAGCAGTGACACGCGGGTGGGTGGGGGCTGGCTGCTTTCTTATCGTCTCGACGCAGAGAGAATACCACATCCATATATCCTAAATAAGTGTCACTGGTTGCGTACGGCGAAAGCGAGACACAATGAAGTGACCAGAGTGAACCGACATTGATAATGCCTAAATACCGCCCGTTGCGGTCACCGACTGAATTGTCCGAAACAAAATTAAAGAATGTTACACAGCTTGCGTGGCTCAATTAGAGTTCCAACATCTATTTCCGCCCCATGTACCGAGTGTCGACATGTACCCAAATCGGCTCTTTATTGCTGTGCATACTAGTCCAATTTAAGCAGTTAGTGATTAGATTCAGGTGCATGCCTCGGTGTATTAGAAAGTGTTATAATATATACTTATTAGCAGTGAATACCGCGGAAGTGATCTCATGAACTTACAAGATGTATAGTCTCGTTAGCTTTTGTACACGGAAGTGCAGTACAAATAATGCATTCATACTATGAAAGACTTCAACGACAAGACACATCCTTACATCATATTCATTGGTGTTGAGTAGAACATTGTGCATAGCTAGCTAGCTGGCGCAACGGTTACCCTGTAGGTAACCTGTCCATCTTTCAGTTAAATCAACCAAGAAGTTTTGTCTGTATTTTTTCTAGATCTGGTATGTCTGTCACTCATATCGATTGCACTGTCCGCTTCATGTTTAATCAGTGACCATATAGTGTCTGTAATGTTCTAGATCTCGTATCTAATCAGTGACCTAAAGGTGCTGTCTGTAGTGTTCTAGATATGTATGTTGCAATGGCACTGTCTGCTTCACCAATAAGTGACCTTATAGTGTTGTCTGTAATGTTCTAAATCTGGTAAGTTATAAATATCAATGGCACTGTCCGCTCCGTTAATCAGTGTCCTTATAGTGTTGTCTGTAATGTTCTAGATCTGGTATATTACTAATATCTAATCAGTGACCTTATAGTGTTGCATGTATTGTTCTAGATCTGTTATTTTACTAATATCTAATTAGTGACCTGATAGTGATGTTCTAGATCTGATATGTTACTAATATCAATGGCTCTGTCCGCTTTATTAATAAGTGATCCTATAGTGCTGTCTGCATTGTTCTAGATCTGGTATATTATTACTAATATCTAATCAGTGACATCATTGTGTTGTCTGTATTGTTCTAGATCTGTTATTCTACTAATATCTAATCAGTGACCTTATAGTGTTGTCTGTAGTGTTCTAGATCTGATATGTTACTAATATTAATGGTACTGTCCGCTTTATTAATCAGTGACCTTATACTATCACCTGCGTTTCAAGTTTTGGTGTGACACATATTTCGAGTTTCTAGCGTTTACGCTTGATTGGAGTTGAAGGACTATCACTACAGACAATTGCTTCCAGTATAGAACAGGTGGAATTGCGGCGGCTGTGGTATAAGCACATGTACACAGCGCAGACTTATAGATAAATCAAAGAAGTATATCGCAGCACACATAGATATACATCACTGAAAAATAGCACACATACCATAACGCATAGCAGTATGTGCATACGCAGGCATACAGACCTGTATCAATAAGGACATATCGCACACATCTAGATAGTATCATCTCTCTATCATTTGTATCTCTCTATACCCGAAAACCCTACGAAGTTTCCGTGGGATGTATGTATTGCTTATCGGTCACACCAAGTGATCCTGGACTGCCGCGGGTGTTAAGACGTAGTCAGTTGACACACAGATCCATCACGTCATGGAAGTCTAGTGTAGTGTGCCAATTACTCAGCGATCAAACTGGTCTATGTCAGTGTTTCAGCGGATACTATAGAGCGTAGGAAGTTTACGGAATTAGAGTGGTTATTCTGTGGATGTGATGTTCAGATACATATTGTACACAAACCGTTAGTTTTAGACATTATCACAGCGCTCTATACCATTGTACCTGTTAATAGGATACTCGGGCACACTATAGAGGCATAAAGGTTTAGACTTACCGTACACTATACAGGCATGCATACCTTGTTTGAGTCTATTTATATCATACACAGAGGTGTGTTTCACTACAACTTACTAAGCGTAGTTACATCCCTTGTTTAAATCTTTTTATATCATACACAGGGGTGTGTTTTACTACAACTGACTAAGCGTAGTTACATCCCTTATTTAAATCTATTTATATCATACACAAGGTTTTATATCACTTACTAACCGTAGATACATCCCTTGTTTAAATCTATTTATATCATACACAGGGGTGTGTTTTACTATCACTTACTTATCACTTACTAAGCGTAGTTACATCCCTTGTTTAAATCTATCTATATCATACACAGGTGTGTGTTTTACTACCACTTACTAAGCGTAGTTACATCCTTTGTTTAAACCTATTTATATCATACACAGGAGTGTGTTTTACTACCACATACTAAGCGTAGATACATCCCTTGTTCAAATCTACTTATATCATACACAGGGGTGTGTTCTACTACCACTTACTAAACGTAGTTACGTCCCTTGTTAATCTATTCTATATCATCCACAGGGGTATGTTTTACTACCAAAAAGGTCGGTACTATATACTCTTTACTGAGCATAAGTGTGTCGTACCAGAGTTCACACCGGAAGTCGCGAGTCCGAGGCTTGGGCAAACGTGGCTGAAATGTGACAAGTTACAGCTAGGACACTTTATTTACACGTTAGTCGAGTAAGCTGAGCGTGAGAGCATCGGATAGATAGGTACTTTATACTACGTAAGAAGTGTCGCTGTATCGTTAAAGAATATCCCTCAGACGGATAGAAAGGTACTTTATACTACGTAAGGTGTGTCGCTGTATCGTTCAAGGATATCCCTCAGATGTCGGCCGTCCGTGGCTGTGGGCCCCCTGAGATCACTTATTTGAATTGCAGAATCAGGATGATCACAATGATGACGATGATGACAATCACAATCGATGCAAAGATGATTTGCTTCTGTAGATGTGCAAGCAGAAGAGAAGGGAGAGAGAAAGAGAGAGAGAGAAGCGAGCAGCACGTGAGTAGTCAAGTAGAGGTGGTAGTAGTGGCGGTAGACGCAGTGTAGGTGGCCCCAACAACCCTACGGTAAGCGTTGGTACGCGACGCAAGCAGGTGTTAAATCGAGTACTGGTGGGTGTGGCTAAGTAGGTTACTCTTAAGCAATGGTACCGCCGCAACAGGATGGATGCATGGGTTTGTGTGACAGTTCATACCATATACTGAACAGTTCGGAACAACAGAACAGCAACCCAGGACACACACACTCAGAAAGACGATACGAATGCAACAACAGTACGTCAACAGCAGTATAACTGCAGTGAGTAATACACAGCCATGGCAGCATGATCACGGTGGGTACTACGCTGGGTGGCAGATGACCGATAGGGTACTTGTATAGATTAATCGTGTATAATATATATATATAAGCATATATATATATATAATATATATATATATATATATATATATATAT